TCAGAAAATCCTGCCAAAGAATAAATTGTAGTGCAGCAGCATGATATTATTTGTTGTTGCATATGGCTAATATACATTGTTTTAAATTATCTTCTGTGATGTTGCAAATACTGTTTCCTGTGCAAAGACGTATATATGCCCAGGGCAGAGGAAGCTCTTTGGGTTGGAGATGCAGAATTTTTAACCCAGTCATTTTTAACAGTTGAAGCAGAAGCTATGGGTAACACCCTGGCGAGAGAAATTAGAACATGCATGCCTGCATAATTTCTCCTGTGAAATGAAGAGTGAAGAGGAGCCAGAGGAGAGTGGAAGTATAACATAATTCCTGAATGACAAAAGCAGGAAACTTTTCAAAGAAAACTAATTACTCTGGTTAGTATAATGCTGCATGTTGGCATGCAGAGGCAACGCTTAACTACTCTCATGTGATGAAGCAAAGCCAGTCAGAATTACCTGTATCTCACAGGCTGCTCTGCTCAGCCATGCTGCTCACGCAGGGAGCACCGGGCACCAGCCAGCATGATGGTCGTTCAGTCTGTGTCAGGATTCTAGTGCAGGGAAGTGAAACTTGTAGTATATCAGTCATGTTTCACAAAGGAACACACCTCCCAGTATCGCTTCTGGTTCCGGGTCTGGACTTAAAGCTATAGTGAGCTGCGCTGCTTTTTGTGTCAGGGAACCAAAGCAGAGTCTGTGTGTCTGTCCACGTACCTGTGTGCTCTGCATATAAAACTGAAATAACATTTTGTTCATACATTATTATTTTTTAATTGATTGCCAGAAATGGAGCAAGATTAATCCTTCAGAATCACATCTTGGATATATGTAAACTAGTTTGAGAGTCTTGCTGCACAGTAAAGTGTGATCAAACTAGGACAGAAACGTGAGGCACTGTGTTTCATAGCATTTGCATCTGCACCAAGGCTGTGGCTTTTCACCTGAACAGCTTGAATCTAGCAGAGCTGCATTCTTCATGGTGCTATTCAGTGATGTTATGGGGGGAAGTCCTTGTGATGACAACTTTTGGAGCCATGTTTTATTTTTTAAGGATGCGTCACTATCTGTTATGTTTATCTAACAGGCACTATAATAGATTGAATGTAGTGGCTTCCCTTCTCTGTAATTCTGTTCTATCTGTGAAATTCTGGTAGAATCAGCTTAGCAAGCATGCAAACAGTGCAGCTAGTACCTGGTTTTAAAACATACTTAGAGAAGAGTATAAAAGACTGTCCTGTACTTCAGAAAATCTTAACACAGGGGGAAAATAAAATAAAACAAAGACCTGCTCATGTACTGCTATTTGCTGTAATAGATGCAGTAAATCAAAGCTCTTATGCATTGCAGAGAACTCTGGTCATGCATCCTAAGTAAGTCTTGTATCCTAAGTAGGTGTTGATATGAACATGAAGCCAAATGAAGTACCTCTCCATAGTGAAATCAGGTTTATTACAGTGTGATTTCCTTCTAAAAACATGTCTCCTTTTAAGGACTTTTATCTAAAATAACTAATGAATGTAATGGCATTAAATAATAAAATAATGTTATGATGCCAAGAATAACTTCTTGGTCTCTTTGATCTTCATTTCAGCTAAAGATATAAAATTCCACTAGAGACTCTTGTAAATAGACTCTGTTAATCGAAACAAATTGTTTTGAAAAACAGCGACTATAATAGATGTTGATTAACACAGTGAATAATCTTGAGTTTTAATTTTTAATACAGCTTGAGTTAACTCCACATTAATTGGAGTCACATCTCTAAGTCATGTTGTACTGCTCTGAAATCTGCATGTGGCTACTTCTGTTCGTCTCAGCTTTAATGAATCATTCTCTTATTTCTTGGCAGCAGCCATTATTGGGCAGGAAAACACAGTTCCAGGTGTTGTCATGAGCCTTTACAGCCTCTGCCTGCCTCCTGCGTGCTGCAGCTCTGTGCAGCACAGGTGGTCCTAGCAGCATGGAGTGTTGGAGCAGATGAAACAGAAATGTCTGTAGTATTTCCAGCTGGTGGTACTGATGGAGACTTTCTCTAGTGGTCTTTCTTCTATTGTAGAAAAAGTTCAAATTTCCTTTTTTCCTATATCTGTGCTGTTCAGTAACATTTGGTGCATGTATAACGGAAGTTTCTGTGAGTTTGTGTGCTGCTTAGTTTTTTGTTTTGCCAAAGAACAAGAAAGGATCTCATTTGAAGTGATCAATACGTACATTGTTTATGTTTAGAAAAAGGAATATGTCTGGTTCTGACAACACATCAGTTTTTTTTTTTGTGCTTCTACAGAATGCACCAATTGATATAATTATCACATTAAGAGTGTCAGTGGAGTTAATAGAAGTGCCCTGAGAACTGCAGTGTCTATATGGCTTGGCCCTTTGTGCACTTCAGGAACCTCATTTCTGATTGCCTTGTTCTTTCAAAGTTCCCTTATGGAACAGAGGAACAATTAACTCCTGTAAAGCAGCAGCTGGGTCCACTAATGATGGGCAGTTTGGATTTGTACTCTGCTATACATGAAATTCTCTCCAGGGATAGCCCCTTGGTATTATCCCAGCAAGTCTTGTGCTGTTAGGTACCCTCAGACAATGTGGTGCCCCTCCTTAGGGCGTGCAGTGCATGCTGCACTCAGTCTTATGTTGCTATAAACATGGCTCTGGGGCAAATCTTGTGCTTTGTGGATGTTACCAGACTGTTCCAGCTAGTCCAGAGGAACACAGGCAAAAACAGGGCTGTATTGTTTATCAGTTCCTCACAGTGTAGACCACAAAGGAAGTAAAGAGTTTGCCAGACATGATAGGAAGCCTTGGTTTGACTCCCAGGTCTTCCTGGAAGCTAGTTCACCAAACTACAGTTGAAAAAGAATTGGTGTTTTCTAGAGTTTTATTATCCTTTTTTTTTTTTTTTTTTTTTTTTTCCCCTTTCTTTCTTTTGGCCTGTTTTTCTTGTTGCTCCTGTTTGAGAGTGTTACCTTGTGTGGAGACTAAAATAGCAATTCAGTCTGTGTGACTGGTGCTGGGAATGAGAGTGAGCTTGGTTGTGGAGTGCTCAACTTGTCCTTTATCGCATTCTCATCTGAATTCAGTTTCTGCAATGAGAGGATAGCTGTAAGAAGGTTTAAGTGCCAACACGTTGAATAGCCATGAAGAATAGAGCAGGAGATGGCTGAAAAGCCAAAGGCAAAGGAATCGGTGCCCATGTAAGGGATGGCAGTGGTGCTTTGGAATGTGCTTGTTAACCCCAGGTTGTAAGCTTCCAAGAAAAAGCAAAGGAGCAGCCGTAGGAAGAGGTAAGAGATTTCCCAGCCATGTTAAAAAAATGCTGAGAACAGCATTTATCAGTATGAATTTTGCAGTGGTGGTGTTCAGAACATCCTTGTGGTACTGGAGATGTTGTGGGTTAACAGGACTTGGTGCCAGTGTGGCAGTAATGGGAGGAGGGGGCAATGTGATGGTGTCTTGCATTTTTTTTGCATGAGATCTTCTGAAGGGGGGTTGTTATATTTTAGTTTTAAGTTGAAGCATTTGTAAGCCTCCCTCTGTAGGTGTCAAAGAGGAGAAGCTACTCCAAAGGTTGATTTAGAACAGTTAAATTTGGTATCTGGCTGGATTTCCCTTTGGAGGAATTGTCAAAGGAGTTTTTCTCTGTGTTAGCTATAGAGAGCCTGTGGTGGTGGCCATCTCAAGTTGTTAGGCTTTAATGATTATTCCCTGACTGGGTGTGTAAAATTCCAATAAATTGTCAATGAAAACTAATGCATTTCATTCCTCAGTCTCTTGGGAGAAGGGAGCTTGTGTTGTTCATAATGCTGCAGTACTGAAGAACATGGTGCAGATGGTTTGGGTTCTGTCCCTACCCTGACTCTGTTAAATACAACTTTTGGGTATTTCAATCTGGTTTTTGATACCTGTGTACAACTTCCAGTTATTAATGTTTGATTTATTTAAGTGTGCGTGCAGTGGGGAATTATTATCCACATCTCATCTATGAGCTTGCTCTTATTAAATTGCTTTCTTCTGATGGTCCCTCAGAGCTTTAAGAAGAGATTCAGTTGTACTTGGTAACTAGAAACAATAAATTTAAAAAGAATAACTGTAATCGTCATTGCAGGAAACAAAAAAAAATAATTTAGCTCGCTGTGCCAGAGTTCCTTCACATTTTGCTGGAATTAAAGGGTTATATATTAAAAAATACATTTTTAGTCAAGATGATTGTCCTGGTGTTTACGGTATTATAGCAGCATAGAAATTTGTGGCAATGTATGAAGAAATTTTTATTTCAGCTCTAATCATAGACAATCTAAACATAACTTACTGACTGTGAGAAGCACATTTAATATGGTAAACTGTCAAATATATGGTTTAACTGTCAATCACTTATTTTTCTGAGCCACCACTGCTGCATGTGTGCTGCTTATTTTCTTGTTATGGGGAGAGAGTGCGTATTTGGTTTATGCATCCTCTCTAAGCAATAATAAAATAATCAGTTTTTCCAGCCCTAGCACTGACACAATTACTATCAACTTCTGAAAAAGCTGAGTACTGAATACAGATGGAGGCCTGAAGCTGCCTAACTGGTGCCAAGGGAAGCAGGGGTTGAAAACCTCCTGTTTAAGTTTTTGCCAAGTCTGTACTTGGTGCTTACAGCTGCATTCGGAGTTGAACACTGAATCATTTCTGTGTCTCACTGGCATTAAAATACAGAGTGTGATTTTCAATATGAATTGAAGGCACTTGGATTTAGGTTTGCTTCCATGCTTTTGGCAAACGCTGTGCAATATTGACCTCTGTTGCAAGGAACTAACATGAAGATTACAAAATGTTGTGAATCTGGATTTCTTTTAATGCTACTCTCATGCTACTCTGACACTGCCCCTTAGCTAAATAGGTAACTAGGAGCTTAAAAAGAGTGTTTGATTAGAGTAGTTGGTATTTTGTTCTCCTGTGTGTTTTTCTGACTTTTTCTCTTTTTTTTTTTTTTTTTTTCTTTCCTTCTTTCTTAGTCTTCATGAAGAAATCATTGACTTTTATAAGTATATGTCTCCCAGACCTGAAGAAGAGAGAATGCGGATGGAAGTGGTGAACAGGATAGAAAATGTTATCAAAGAGCTCTGGCCTAATGCAGATGTGAGTAGGACACTCTTCTGTTTGTTAATATATAAAAGCAACATTTTGTGCCTCTTTACTTTGTAATGTATTGAATATTGAAAATGCTGGTTTGTTTTATTTATTTATTTTATTTTAAAAAGCGAAAAGGATTTCTGGTCAAATGAGAGAATAATCTTTTATTTCTGGAATAATACTGTTTAATGGTTTCTATGGCACATAGGATCAAAACCAAGCTAGACCTAGTATAGTCAAAGGAAGGGCATGAGGAGTGGCAACACTTAATCTCATTAATATTTATTTACTAAGATTAATGAGAAAGTATCAGGCATGCATGTGTGCTTGTAAAATGTGATGTTAAAAAAAAAATCTTCTGAAACTCATGGCTTGTCTGAAAAAAATCTATAGCAGAGCTTCTAGTCCAAGACCTTCTATCTTGTGGAAGTCTATTGAGGCGCAATGCCACCAATGCCACGTTATGTAGCCTGTGGTATTTTTGAAGTGCTATTAAAATAAACTGAAATATCTTACAAATGTAACGGACCCAGGCTTTTGTGCAGAAAGAAACAAGTCTGTAGATCTCTCTATATGTGTCTATTTGGGTGCAAATTGGAGCATAGGAGGTTCCAGGTGAATATCTGAAAAAATTTTTTTACTGTGAGAGTGACAGAGCACTGGAACAGGCTGCCCAGGGAGGTTGTGGGGTCTCCTTCACTGGAGACATTCAAAACCCACCTGGATGCGTTCCTGTGTGATGTACTCTAGGTGACCCTGCTGTGGCAGGGGGGGTTGGACTAGATGATCTTTCGAGGTCCCTTCCAACCCCTAGGATTCTATGATTCTATTAGATATATAATGCCTCTAGTGCCTCTTTCCACCAAAGACAGATTTTTGCTAGTACTTTAGTCAGTTGAAACGAGTTTCTCTTGTGCAGAACTGTGGTCTTATTAATAAAGGTTGAATTAAAGAAAAGTAGAGAAGTTGCTTTTACAACTCGAGGTAGTTTTATGGGGACATGGTCAGACTTTTAGCATAATTGCATCTAGCTTAATTATACAAATAACTAAGATGGTGTTAATTTCTAGATGCAAATTTGTAGCCATAGTCATCTATCTGTAGATAGCAGTATCTGCAAATAAGGACTTGTTAGCTGGAATGGCAAACCAGAACAGCAGAATCTACAGTATAAGAAATGCTCTTTGATCTTGGCACTGTTAGATACAGTGTTTTGACGTTAGTGACTTAAACCCACTGTTCATTTCAGATCTTAGCCGGTTTTTTGGAACTAGTTTTTGGAAACTGACAGAATATGACAGAATATGAATTCTGTATAAGCTTTGTGTATGTGGTGTGTGATTTTGTGTGTAGAACATACATTTTCAAGAGGATCCACATTGTTATGAACAACATTATTAGTAACGTATAGTGTGGAAGGACCACGCTCCACTCAGTTTCAACTGCCTTTGCACAGTTAGAGGGAGTTGATAGAGCCTCTGCCACATGTGGCTGGTCGTTTTCAGTTTGAGCACAGCCAATAACCTTTACAAGGGAACAGTGCAAGAGATTTCAGCACATCTCACAGGTGTTGTGTAGCTGCTCTCTAACTCTGTGAAACAGTGGTGTAATTCCTAATCAAGAGCAGGAGTGGGGAATTCCAGTCTGACAGATGATAGTATGGGGACCAGTGCAGGTAGGAAACAGTTCTTGCCATGGTACACCCTGCCCAAGGCTTGTAGTTGGGGATTTCACCAGAATAAGTGTTTGCTTCTGATTTCACCAGAGTAACTCATTGCCTAGAGAAGATGCCGTTATTTCCTAGACAAGTTTGTGGGTTGCAGACATAACTAGTGTGATGGGGTGAATGGGATTATTACCAGGGGATCTTTCATTGTTACCACTAATACTATGATTGTGGCACCAGAACTTGGTGCTGTTTGTAGGACAGATTCAATCTATAAAACCTAGGTCTTTAATATTAAAAATTATATATATATCACTTCAGGAGCTTCAGAAAATACTCTTTCTTTAAGCTACTGAAACTGGGTTTTGTAGCCTTAATCTTTTAAAGAAGAGGAAGCAAATTACAAGCCTTTCCACACAGTGACACATGACCACTGAGCTTAGCTGTAATGTTGACTGAGAAGCAGCCCACACCATGAACTGAAGTTCACTCTTCAACTAGTGCCAGTTAAAACTGCCATGTCCGTCTTTCTTTGCTGTTCTTGCAATTATTGGAGAGCAAGAGCATGCCAGTTCCTTTTTTGCAAATCAGTGGCTGTTCTTCAGAGACAAACTCTGCATTTTGTCTATTGCTGTTACATCAAGGAAGAATTCTCCTCTTGTATACCCTTCTGTTTTCTGGAGGCTAGGAGGGAACTGAATGCTGACAGCAGCACACCAGGTTATAAACTGGAAATTACTGTAGTGTTATTTTTCTCAAACTTGCTAGACAGATCTGCCTGGGAACTGAACTGCTGAGCTCATCTGTGTTCGACTTTGACAGTTTTTTTGTAATTTTTCAGTAGTTTGAGTTAATCACTAACCTTTTGGAAATCAGTGTTGGTTTAGCTACTTGTAAGTTTCAAGTTTTGAGTACATGCCCTGGGAAGGTGGAGTGTTATCTGGTCCAATGTCCTCAGATTTAGCTGTAGTGTAAAGTGATAAGTTAATGTTTAAGCTGTTGTTTTTGAGTCATAGATGTAGTGAATCCAGCTAAAATAAACTTGTAAGTTGAACATACACATTTAGTTTGTAGTTTCTCACATAACACGGAGGTAAGGCGTACTCTATAAAAATAAGATGCCAAGAAAAGGAAAATCAAGCTTCATGGATCTAAATGTATAAAGTGTGTGGAATGTGTCTGTGCACATACTTTTTTTTTCTCCATTCGACTTAGGAAAAGGCTGAAAAAGCAGATGGAGGGGGAGTAAAACTAGGTATCCTAAACTGTTACTTTATTTATAGAAGTTAGCAATTGTGTCATTTGCTCTTACTCAAGGGAATGTGCTTAGAAGGAAACATTCCTAGTAAGTGAGAACTGTTCTTGGCATCAGCAAGGCTCTGACCATAAGAAAGGCTTTAATTGCACTGAAATTGAACAACCCAAAATGTTAAATGAAAGCATTTTAAGACAAAGTTTTTTGACCAGTTGACCAGTTTTGATACGGAACAAGTAAGTACTTATACAGTGGAATTTAGGATACATTTGTCATAATGTTCTCAGCTTTGTATCTGAGTGCTAATGGCTTTGTAGACCTGAAAAGAGGTAACAGTGCATACTTCACACACTTAAAGTATGAAAACATTATGATTTGGAATGGAAATAGAAAAATAAACTCTATTTAGTTGATGAACTTCAGAAAATTCTACTTAATTCTATTTTTTCTTAGAAATTGACTACCAGTATATTTTTTGTTTTGATGGAGGGATTTTTTAGAATTGAATATGAACAAGTTAGCAGAAATGTAGGCTGAGTAGTAACAACAACACACAGGAGTAGTTCACTGGATACTTGTTAAGTCAAAAGTTATCTTAGGTATGTAAATACCTATCTCATTCCACATAGAGTAAAACCATAATCGGCAGTGTTAGCACACCACAAAAACTAGTGCTCGTGTCCTTCAGATCATAACAGCATCCCTGTTTGGGATGCTTTAAATATGTACATGGCTAGAGAGATTCAACAGTTTAATTCTGATTTGGTAACAAATCAAGATCCTTTAAAATTTCTGTTCATATTTCCCCACTTTTGCATCTCTCCAGATTTGATGAGGGAGGATTGAAGTCTGGGTGTGGGTTTCTTTTACAATAATGCAGTGTTTCTCATACTCAAAATCATTGTACAACAGCAGATGTTGTCTCGTTCCTTTCAGTGAAGGTCATATATGTTGTATCAGTAAGTTTATGAATACTTTCAGAGTTGTTGATTCAATAAAGGCTCTTTTTGCTCTTGAGTTGAATACACTGGTTAATTAGATAATATGAAAGCATATTTAGTTTTTTCTGAACCAAAAGCACTTCTCAGACATTTTGGGTGGCCAAATAAATCTGGTTTGACTCAACCCAGACAAAGGATGTCTTTATTATTATCCTGGATTAAAAATAGTAATAATTATTACATTCTTAGCTTTGTGATGCCTTTATGCTTTTGTCAAGGTCTAGTGCAATATTGATGTTAGCTCTGTGGTATCTCTTTTCTAGTTTGAGAAGCTATGAACTTTTAACAGTAAATTTGCCTGTAATATGTGCTTTTTGTTGGGGCTGAGGGGGTAAGAAGAGAAGTGATAAAAAATAATTGAGAGGAACCACTCATACTGCTCCCTTAGTCTACTAAAGTATCAAGACACTGAACTTGCCAAAACATAATCTTTTCCTGTCTTCCCCTTTTACTTATCTTGAAGGAGAAAAACATAAAAAGTGGGGCACTTGGCATACAAATAGGTGACCATCAAGCCAGTATATGAGACTTATTACAGCATAATACACAAATCTGTGAGGTGGCTCCAGGAGACACAACAGAAGACTGTCTAGTTGAAAATGGATCCAAATGTTTACGTATTTTTTACTTTGAAGTTTCACTAGTTCCGCCTTGAGACTTACAGCATGAGTCTGACCTCCCTGGGAGGCTTGGTTAAGTTAATGAGAAGGTGGTTTTGGGCATCTTACAATGGAAACCTGATCATTTAAACCTCCAGGACTAGGAAAAGTCCAGCACAATCAACTAAATCTGTGGGATGTGAAACTTTCTGAAACTTTGTTTTTTAAGTAGAAGTAGACAAAGTGATGCTGCTTGCTCTCTAGTTCAGAGGAAAAAAAAAAAGAGTGAATTTTTTTTTTTTTCAGTAGGCAAAGCCAAAGAAATATATTAAACTTAGAAGATGTGTTTAAAAGCTGAAAGGTGTACTTTGACTTATGAAAGCAAAAAAGAAATTGAACTGATGCAGAATTTGTTATGTCCTGTCATTTTGTAAGTGTTTAAAAATGGTTTGGTTTATGGATTCTGCCAAATTTGGTCACAGTGAACATTTTTACATTACAGAGAAGGTTTGTAATAAAAAAAAGCCAAGTTATTCGTGTTTGTGGGTAATAACAGTGACGTTCAGCTGTTTGTACTACATTGAAAATGTAATAACAGTCAAGAGTACTTGTGTTCAGAATATGCCTGTTAGCAATACCAAAATCTACCAATGGAGGGTAGCAATAACCACCCTTTACAAGCAACTTAGAACTGGTTTATCTTCTGAAGCCTGAATATTTGTTTTCATATATCCTGTTCTTGTGTTTCAGGTGCAGATATTTGGAAGTTTTAAAACTGGTTTATATTTACCTACAAGGTTAGTAATTTTTCAGTGTATATTCTGTTCAGGAGGAATTCCTGTAGTGATGTGTCTGATCTCCCAAGATCTGTGTTCATTGTGTGTTTACTTGTTATAGTAAGAAAATGTTAAGCTATTAGTACTCTGCAAAGTGTACAGAAATGTAGTAATTAAGACTGTTAACTGTAATACCTGTGTCTGTGTAGATTTTGCATGTATCAGATTTTGCATGTATCAGTAAAAGATCTGAATGACCATGTTGTCAAAAAAGACATCTTGTGTTTTGGCTGCATTAAATGACTGAACCAGAGTAAGAGGTTGGCCTTAAAAAAAAATGCTAGATTTTATCTCTACAGACAATTAAATTGAAACATTTAACATTATCATGTTAATGCCAGCATTAGCACTGATGAATAAACAATACATACAGATCTCTGTTTTTCTTTCAGATTTCCTTTTGTGAAATCTGTACGATAGTCAACCTCTACTTTTCAAATTTTATTACTAGTTTTCATAAAGAGAAGTAATTAGCCAGGGACACTAGTATCTTCTGTATAGAAATTGTAAGTATTTTTGACATTTAAATAAAAATAGAATGAAAGGCTTAAATGACTGCTGGGGATAAACACATTTAAACACTTGAATTGAGTTCCATACTTGAGGAAGTTGAGGAATTAATGTCTAGTACTGACTGCAAGTAATGAGTACCCAAATTGTAGTTCTGTTTCTTCTTGAAAAAGAAAGTATCTTTCAGATACTTCAGTATGTGCTTTTAGTCTAAGGAGTTGTGGGGAAGCTGAATTGCTTGGTTTCTGTTGGAAAGTCAGAATTAAGGTGTGCAGATACACATTATTCTCACATATGGTCTTGTTTTTTTGGCCAAACTTTCAAAGTAACCAACGTGTTGGTAATTGATTCCCTCTTGCCTTCTAGCAAAGCTTCCCTTTGCTCTATGTTTTCCCCACCCATATGTATAGTGCATTTACTTTTCAGGTTCTGGGCTTCAGAAAGGCCTACAGTGTGTTTTTGATTTTGTTATTCTGTGTCAGAATTTTACTTAAGCAGATATTGAAGGTTTGGGCGCGTGATTGTTTAGCTGCTGGGTCTCTGTGTTATTTTGCAGGCAATATTGATCTTCAAGGTGACGGCAGAGCTGCTTTTTCTCTCTTTGTGTGCATCAGAAACTTATCTCCTGTTGTTAACTGTCAGTATCATTAGTGGGTCTAACAATAATTTAGTTTAGAAGCATCCAATGGCATTTCCTACTCTCCAAGCAGGCTTTGAACATAGTTTTCTGAAACTGCTCAGGAGCTGCCTGTCCTTGTTAGCAGAACACTGTGCAAATGAAGTGCTGCCGGACCTGCCTGCTGCCGACACAGCTCGTTGGATGAGATATTTCTTCTAATGCAGATGGTTAAAGCAGTGTTGTTTGTGAATCAGCAGACCTGTAGAACCTACAGAGGCATGAGGAGCATTCCTAAATTTTCTGGTGTTTTCTGTTACACAGTTTTCCATGTTACTGAAGTAGCGTTCTATTATAACTGCAGGGTTATCTGCTTGCCTCCTTCATGTTCCCAACCAAGCAGGGGAAATCAAAGAAGTTGGGGAGGACAGAGCTTGAGCTCTCAAAGTAGCCATCACTGGCTTCAGTTTGGGCACTGGGCACCTTTTGAATTTGAGTTTAGGCATTGAATTAGGGTGTCAGTTTCCTGTGTAGTCAATTGAAACATGTATGTGAATAGTGGGGAAGTGTAGTGGGATAGAGACACTTCATCAAGGAGCTGAGTTAATGGGTGAAGTTAATTAGAGTTTGATCTTTTTAAACAGCATGTTGCTTCCTGAAGTCGAAGTTGCCGCATTTTCTTTTCTCATTCCTTGCTCACTGTTCTTGGCACTACAGGCCAGCTGCTTACCATGTGCCCACTGGTGCTCTGATCACCCAGAAAAACAACTTTGAGCTGCCAAGAAACAGGAAATTACCCCAGGATGTTTTGGTGTTTGTTTGTTGTGTTTTTTTAAAGGGCAGTGTTGATAGGAGTTGGTTTCTGCCAGGCCCATTAATGTGTTGAATTGATTTGTTGTGGATTAGACAAACACCAGTCCTGGGGCACAGGAGGAGAAAGGGCATGTGGGAGTAGAGGATGGGGAACAGGACTTTCTCTTTCGGTGACAAGCTGTTGTATCAGTCTTACTGATAATACAGCCCAAAGGTGGTGATTCACAATAAGTTCATTTCTTGCTCTGAATCACTCTGGAGAAGCTGATCCCTGTGCTGACAGTGTGGCCTGAGGAGATTAATCTCGGGCTTTGAAACCTAATTGATTTGTATATGTAACTGTCCCCTTCTCTTGGTAACCTGAAGTGTAAGAGTTACCCAAGTGTAAGAGTTCACCCCTCTCCTCAGAAGATTAAGAATAAAGTGTTTGTTTAAGCCTATATTCTGCCAGCTTTATTCTAGTTCTGTGTGGATGTTTGTTGTTTATCTTTTGAGTGTTTGTCTTTCAGTTTGAATAAATTGGTGTTTTCTTTCCATTTCAGTGATATTGATTTAGTTGTGTTTGGAAAATGGGAGACATTACCTCTCTGGACCCTGGAAGAAGCGCTTAGAAAGCACAATGTAGCAGATGAAAACTCAGTAAAGGTTTTAGATAAAGCAACTGTAAGTTTGTGGGAAGTGGGTATTTCCTTGTTCTAAGCTGAATTTCTGGTCAAAGGAAGATCTTGGTTAAAAGGATTAATTTTCATAAGCAGACTTTTATATATAAATTTGAAATAGGATCAATATAACCTTTTTATTTAGTATAGGTTTTATTACTGACAGAATAATTGGTAATGCTCTAAGATAAACATTTTTTCTGTCGGGTAAAATTATCATATTTTCCTTACTACACAACATACATTTGCTTTTAAATGAGGTTTTACTGGTCATTGGTGTGAACTTATTTGATTAGACTTGTGGATTTCTGGACTTGAGTTTATACATGCGTAAGGAAATTATTTTTTTCTTTCCTATGCCAAGTAAACAGATACAGACATTTTCACATAGAAGCTGTAAATGCAGCCTTGTATAAATACATAGTAATATGTCTTGTGCAGATTACAATTCCATAATAACTTCCTAGCTTTTGCTAATTCTGAGTATGCAAGAGTGTTGGGGTTTAAACAGGTATCTTAACTGATGGCTGTATTAGTAGAGAGAGGCGATTTGGAAACCACTCAGGAGGTGTCAGAGTGCTCTCAGTATCTTGTGCTTCTTGTTTGAAGATAATTTTGCTGAGGAGTCAATGACCCACAATGACACAAGCCTGTCATTTCTTAAGAATATCTATTACCCTGTATCTTTATTTCTTAAGCATTTGTCTCCCTCTGGTGTTTGTTTTTCCCACTAGAACTGTGCTTCTGCAGCAGGAACTGATTAACGACAATGTAATCACCTCGAAGTCTTAACTTCTGTTAAACAGGATAGTGATTTGAAAATAGCATTTATGGGTTAGAAAAGTAAAGTTTATTTAAACAAATTGGCAAGGAGTGTGACTTGGTAAATGGACAGAGTCCTGTTTTCTTTGTCTACCTCGTCTCTACAAATTCATGTAACATTTCAGTTTTACTGGTGGTTATAAGTATGAATGAAACCAATTGTGTTTTGGAAATCTGCATTGTCTTAACTTGTCTTTCTTTTGCAGGTACCCATTATCAAACTGACAGATTCCTTCACTGAAGTAAAAGTTGATATAAGCTTTAATGTACAGAACGGGGTTAAAGCAGCCCAGCTTATCAAAGATTTTATCAAGGTTAGGCAACACTATAATAGATCTACAGAGCTGAATATTTGATTAATTTTATTTTTTGTTTTACTTTTTTACTAGATATGTGCTTTCATTCTCTTTTTTTTTTGCTCTCTGATACTATGGTGTGACATTCTTGGGTTTTAGCTCTATTGCCCTAAAAGGCATGAATATAGCAGAATGTACAAAGAAACTATCGAAAAGTTGATACAATGACTAATGAAAATGCACTAATGCCTATCTTAAATGTTCTGATCTTCTAACTGTGGTTCTTGAACCTAAATTAGTAATAACCACACATTCCTGGAGAAAGTAGGAATAAACTTGTTCTTGGTTGTTACTTTGGCTAATTAGGTAGAAAAAGTTAAATTTATTAAGTTATTGTTCAGGCTTCCAGTAATACCTGTTTTGTAGATACATAACAGTTATCTTTGTTTAATATGTAGGATCATTTTGTTAGGATTAATGAACTTTTGTATTTCAAGTATCATTATACCCATTTCCTTCCCTTTTTGCTGTTGAGTTCATTGGACCCTCATAGTAAATGTCTTTTTTTTGGGTTTTCCTTTTCTGTAGAGAGACACCGAGTGCAGTTGAGTTTCAGTTAAGTGCTTAGGTATTACTGTTCTACTACTGACTGCTTTGGTTCTTTAACTGAATGGACAGCCGGAGAATCAAAGTATTTCAATAGCTAGACAAGTAAAACTCCTTCAGAAAACTGTAAAACTGAGTAAAGCAAACACTTTCAATCATAAAGGTTAGAAATCATGTACATCTGCTTTAATCACGTCATTAAATTGCAAGAAGTCTTCTAAGTTTGGAGGGATTTTTAGTTGCTGGTGAGTTGAATCTACAGCCTTACACTTGTTAATCTTCAGATCCTTTTTGTATGTTTAGTAGCAAGTATGAAAGTAGCTCCGTTTGCCTCTACAGTGTCAATTTATTTAACCTGTAGAAGGGCACAGTAGAAAAATCTCTGTACTTAGTTCAGTTTCAGTAGGGTAATATGAGCACATGTCTGTGTTGTCTCACTGGTGTGTCTCCCTGTGTCCCCAGGGAGGGGACAGGGGCTATGTGTGGCAGCTGGGCAGGCACAGAGCAGGGCCTTGTTCCCTGGGGTGCAGCTTTGAGGTACCCCAGTTCAAGAGCAGAGCCAATTTGGTGACAGCAGCCAGGGTGAGGTCACAGTTTGGCCAGTGACTGGCAGACAAGTCCCCAGCAAGGAGGCTTAGGCTGCCAAGTCAGCACGCAGCAGCACAGCTCAGGCAGATGCCAAGGGGAACAGCTGGGATGAAAAGCAGCTTGAGCAAAAGGGGGGATACCCAACAAGGCTTCCCACATGGTGCTTTCCTACATGGTTTTCCCAGCAGCCCAAACCAAGGCCACACAGCTGTGCCACACTGGAGCTGGCCTTGAGCATGGGCAGCTAAGCCTAGTGTGGCAGGGGAGAGGTGACAGTTGGCCCTGACACAAAGCAGGTACTGGCTACACTGCCTCAGAGGCTACTGGACCTGGAGAAAACTTCATGTGTACTTGCCAAGAGATGTCATTAGTATTCTCAAGGATCTCTCTAAAACACTTGCACAGCATTCTCTTGGGTCCTATTTTGTCCCACATAACTTTGAATACCTAACCGAGGTGTCATTTTCAGTGTTACACTTGGAAATGCCTATTTCTCCTTATCCAATTTATTTAGGAAGTCTGAGGCAGCTGAAGCCTTAATTAAGTGTTTGCAGTTTCCTGTGTAAAGTCCTGTCTTTAAGTTTTGGTATACTCAACTTCAGCTTGTGATTGCAAGTTCTAAGTAGTTAAAAAAGCTGATCTGGGGATCTGTGGTTAATTGGGGCTCCCAGTACCCTCTGTAAGACTCATGAAGAGAAGATCTTGGAGAAATTCTTGTTTTCCTCTAATATTTTGCAACCTCAGATACCATGATCTGCTTTTTTTCTCTGACACTATGGAACACTTTAGCTGTGTTGTTAAAAAGGAGTATTATTAAGCCTCTTGTGCCCTCTCCCCTTGTGAGGGTTTGTACAGAGTGCAGGCATAGCCCCAGCCTCCACTGCTGTCCCAAAGGTCCATGTCCTCCACACATGCAGTGTATGCACACCTGTAAAGGAGTCCATGTGGACAAACTATTAAAGGACCAGTTACCCACAGGTAAGCATTTGGCTCCTTTGAAAATGTTACTGTGGTGTACAAATTTAGAAGACTTGTTTTAAATTCTGAGCATCTGAAGAACTTGAAGGACAGAAGTTAAGTCTCAGTCTACTTCGGCACCCCTCAGTTGTAGCAGGAAGGTTTTGTTACAGACATGGACATCTTCATAGTTCATCCTTTCCTTTTCATTTATATGAGTAAAGCAAGTGTATTTATGTATTCAAACAAAAGAATTCTGAATTTATGAGTCAGTATTTTTTTTTCTATTGTTAATATCTGTCGTTGGAGTTGAAGAGGTTAGATACCTTGATCACAGGCAGAGTACTTGCCTTCTCCTGTTACTAAAAGCAGTAAATTAGAATTACACTTAGCTTTGAAGCTTAATATAACAGATAGCTTCAATGTGCTTTCTTATCAATTGTATATAGGCATCACAGCTTCCTAACACTTTTCTTTGTTTCTTTCAGAAATATCCTGTATTACCATATCTAGTTTTAGTATTGAAACAGTTCCTTTTGCAGAGGGACCTTAATGAAGTATTTACAGGTGGAATCGGTTCTTATAGTCTTTTTTTAATGGCTGTCAGTTTCCTTCAGGTAAGCTTAATGAAATCTTTTGATGCCATTGTGCAAAAGGACATTATGTTAAGAAGAAACTTAATCTTTAAATTTGATAATTTAAGCTATCCTGTTATGGTTTTGCAAACTCTTTTAATTTAAAAATAGACACATGGCACCTGTCTTTTGTTCTTTCTGCCATACTGGTACTTTTGATATTAGAGATATTTGGCATATCTGCTGGTGTATGGATACCAGGTAGGTGTGTCATTCATGGCAAAAGAACTTGACTACTGTGTAACTGACTTGGAACAAGCTTACATAGGTTGGGGTGAGATGCAGCTGCCCTTTGTACCACTTGTTTTCCTGCTTATACATGCTGTGTGTGCTGTAATGAACACAAGGGAGTTTTGCTGGTTCACCCAGGTTGTTGGGCTGGCATAAAATATCTGTTTTACATCTTTCTCTTAAGTGTAAGAGAACAAAATGCAGGAGCTAAAATCTGTATTGTTGTCCCTGGAGGAGAAAAATGTTTTAGAAATACAAAGTAGCCAAGTTCTGCCTTTACCAACCTCCTCCTTTTGCTTGTACTAAATGTTATTGTGTAACTGTGTGTATGTCTGTACTTAGCTAGATTGTAGTCACTTCCAAACCTGGAGGTCAGTGTTTGCTGAGCGCTAGTGCAGCTGCCTGCTGAGCACAGAAGAAAGGAAGGCAACAGGCAGAATCTTTTGAAAGAAACCAAAGTCTCTCCCAACCCCAATTTTTTCTTACGTTGACAAATAGCATTCCCATTTGTTCCTGCAGGAAAAGAGAACCAGGTTTGTATCTGTTCCATTTATGAACTGGTTTTGTTCATAATCGGACAGGCTGCATATTTAACAGTAGAAGGGATCTTTTACATAGCTGTGTGCATTAAAAGCCTGTACTTGTATTGCAAACCCAGGTTTGTGAAGTGCAAATATCTTTGCTTTTTTACAAGAGCCCTGCCACTAGTGCTGGAAGTTCACTTACTGAACTGAAAGTTCAAATACAAAAATATTAAGACTCACCAGTCTTATTTTTAAGAGGTAATTTGTTTATAAAAGTTTTGATAGCATCTTGTTTTAAAAATGCAAAACTACTTTATGAAGGAAAAATACTATGTGTGGACATATTAGCTTTATATATTATACTTTATTATTATTTATTTATATATATAAATATATGCTGTGAAAAAGAAATTGCACTAAAAAGGACTTGGGGTCTTAAGAAAATTACTTCTTTTTCTCTCTTCTTAATAGCTGCATCCCAGGGAAGATGCCTGTATGCCCAATGCCAACTATGGTGTTCTTTTAATAGAGTTTTTTGAATTATATGGACGTCACTTCAATTATCTGAAGACTGGTATCCGAATAAAGGATGGTGGCTCTTACGTTGCCAAGGATGAAGTGCAAAAAAGCATGTTGGATGGCTACAGACCATCAATGCTGTATATTGAAGACCCGTTACAGCCAGGTATCCTCATACACCAAGATTAAATGTATTGACTAAAAGAAAAATTGAGGGGAATGCTTAATCCAGGGGAGTTGAATCAAAGAATAGCATAAAGTGACCATCTCAAACTGAACAGAAATGCCTCGTTCATGTCTGTGAACACAGTGTGAAGCCTCAGAATGGTTGGCATTAAGATGTGTTCCCAGTATGAGTTCCCGTTACACGAGAGCTTGCCTGTTCTGCAGCCAGGAGGTGGTGTGCCAGAGGGCACATTAAGCAGCCCTCCCCTGCTCTGTGGTGACAGCAGTAAAGCTGTAGCAGCACAGGCCTGAGCGCAGGCCAGAGGGACCTGTGTGTGTACGTGTGGTCCCTTTCCAGCTGTGCTTGCCTGTGTCACGCTTGCACTTCATAACGTACGGATGTTCTTATGTGCACTCTCCTGTTGGATTCTGGAAAGTCACACATGTAGTGGTTTCGTTCTGTATCCCAAGAAGGTTGATTGTTGACTTGAATGGGAGGCTTTTGAAATGGTGAGTCAAGATCTGTTCATATGTTCATAACATATGTTCATAACATATTTCTGACCTAGAAAAATGTCATCCAGGACAGTACTATTATATGTTTAATGTATGCAGTACAGGATTTTGGGTTTTTTCTTCATGTATTGCACTTCTTCCCAGAGGATTGCCAATGTGGACTTCTGTGCATGTAAATATCTATGGGTCTTTAAGCTCTTTCAAATGTTGATGCTTCACTAATCCTGTTCTACAAGAAGTAACTTCAGTGAGTTGGGATTTACGGGCAATTAAAAATAAAATATTACTGTCTCCTGTCTGAAAGGAGATAACCACAGTTTCAATCTTATTTATTTATTTAATTATATTCTTATTTTAAGGTAATGATGTTGGGAGGAGTTCATATGGTGCCATGCAAGTGAAGCAGGCTTTTGATTATGCCTATGTTGTTTTGAGCCATGCAGTTTCCCCAATAGCTAAATATTATCCTAACAACGAAACGGAAAGGTAAATTTTATGAGTCTAAATCTCAGATGTTAATTGCTTATATTTTGGTGTGTCTAAAAATTACTTGTGGTGATGATTTTGGTTTTTCCCTTGTTTACAGTATATTAGGTAGAATAATTAGAGTAACACAAGAAGTGGCCACATACAGAGACTGGATATCAAAGCAGTGGGGAATGCAAAGTAGGACGGAGTCTTCATGTAATGGTAAGTCTTGACTTCACATGGCTGGCAGTGGGAAACTTCCTGCATATTTTGATCATATAAATGTTGTTATGTTTACCCCACATAAGGCAGTGCATGCATCTTAGTGTGAGTGGTGGTGGAAATTCTCTTGTGTTCTCACTCAGAAAATCTGTTTGTACCAAAGTGAAAATGCCACACCACATCTTTATTCTACTGCCATGGATTTGTTCAGCACATTCCCATCTAAGTTACCTGTGTTGTTACTGTCACACTTTTGTCCTTCAAATGTGGACAATTACTGGGAAGGCGAGTTTAAATTCTTATCCTCTGTTCTTTTATTTTTCGTGTTATGGTTTCACATATTGTGTGTGTACAGAAGCAATATTTAATGCAGGATTGATCGGATAATTGGAATAAGTATTTTAACAGAAAAATCCTGAAATGTCCATAATTTTTATTGTTATTAATAAATGGAACGACAAAATCTAGTCAGAGAACTTGCTGAAATTGTCCTTTAAAATAATATTTGATTTATTGCCTGTCTTCTGAATTCACTAGCCAAGTTGCCACCCTCTTTTGGTGTATGTGTATCTGCTGGCTGGGTTTTCAAATTAAAATGAATTGTAATACTCTGAAATTATTTTTAGAATGTTAGCTACTAGAAGTCTTCTCTTTTTAGGGGTTAATCAGAGAAGATGACACAACTACCCGGTCTTTAGGCTAGGTTGGGATTTTGTTTAGTTGTGCCTTGTGGCACTACTGTGCTCCCTGCTATTGGCAGCCTACCCTGGGTCCCTCCTACAGGCTCCAGGGTAATCCTTAGCTACCTGTGGGGATGGATTTATTAAACTCTGTGTGCAACTAATGAGGCAACACCTGTATGTTATATCAAACACAGATAACTCATAGGTTTCTTATGTGAGATAAAACACTAATGAAAAAAAAAACAACCACCCTATGTCAGGAAGATAATGGTGATAGTTACAGTGACCATCTTGCAGATCTAGTTTAGATTTAAGTTCCCATTCCTTTTTTTTTTTTTTTTTATTAAAGTAGAAGTTAGTGAGATAACAGAGTTCTGTAGCTCATATTTTCAATGTAGGGTATTGCACAAAGCACCTCACCCCACTTGGAGTTCTTACAGCTCTAGCAGCTCCAGCAGAGGAAAAGTGAGAGTTGCTGAGTGTTTGCCTTATAGGAACAGAGTTTATACTTAGGTATTTGAGTGCTGTTGAAGTGTGTCATGTAACAGTCTTACTAAGAAGCATATCTGAGCTCTCTTACTACCTTCTTCCATGTCTTCTAGTTGCCACTTGATCTGTGGGTAATGCTTGGTGTTTTTCATAGTGTAGGTTAATGGATCTTGTCAGGAAAGCAGCGCACTCTGCCAGGTGTGGGCTTGCGGTGTGCAGCACAGACACCTGCACGTGTGTCTGCCTGTGCAGGTGTCTGTATGTGCCCTGCTGGGTATAACAGAGTATCTGAATGCATATTTAAAAAAAAAGCACAACATCCTTTAGCAGGTAATGTGTGGTGATGTGTCTGTTTTGGTTTTGATAGGTAATGGAGTAACCTTGATAGTAGATACTCAGCAGCTAGACAAATGCAACAATAATCTTGCTGAAGAGAATGAAGCACTGGGAAAACCAAGAAATAAAACTTCAGAAACACTTAGTAAACATTCTTCAAATTCTTCATCAGGTCCTTTATCATCATCGTCGTCTACACTGTCCAGCTCTAGTGATGTAGTAAGTACTGGAGGCTTTCTGGTTTGTTTGGGTTTTTTTTCCGCTTATTTGAGTTTTTAACCTGATTTTTATTGCTGCATAACACATTTGGAAAGTTGTGAATCCTATTTAGTTATTTCATCCAGAATCCTAACTTGCATAAGATGTTACCTCTTATGCAATTTCTACACATGCAAGTTGCAATGTGCTTTTTAACACGCAACACATAGAAAGTGAATACAGCAGATGCAAAGTTACATAGCCTTCTTTTCTCTGGGAAAGCTATTTCAAAAAAAGATTGGTAGTCCTAAGCCATAAGTTTTTGTTTTTTAAAATGCCTTAAACAACCCATGTGGGAATTTTATTTAAAAATAAAGGGCAAATCCTCAGAACAGAACTGCATATCAATACATTTTACTCAGTAAGAATTCTGGATTGAAAGAATTTTCATATCTAATAAATAAACACCTTTCAAGTTTTGTCCACTGCTAGCTTTATTTTTAAGGGAAAACTGACTTGTAGAAAAACTCACTCTTAAGAAAAACTCACTAATACTTTAATTTTCCTGAAGGATTCTGATGGAACACCTTGCAAAACCTCTAAACAATTGAGTTGTCGTCAGTCTACCACAAACAGAGTGGGGTCACAAGAAGTGTCACTGGAATCCTCCCAGTCAAGTGGGAAAACACAAAATAGCCAAACAGCCAATACATCCAGCAACACGAACAAATCTCAGGTTTGTGAAATATTTGGAAACAGCCATTGTGTAGATTATTTTAATATTACACATCCTCCATGGAAGAGTAGCTTGTTATGGAAAGGAAACACTGTTTTTCACCACCCTTTTTACACCACTAAAAAGCTTTGGGCACTGATTGTCTCTAAAATCACCTGGTTCTCTGTTTTGCTTACACAGATGGGTTTGCAACCGTGGCTTTCCCAGCCTCAAAACTGATTAGATTGGATTGACTTTATTTTGGGAAATGTAGATCTGGCAGAAATACACAGTTGTGTTGCACCCATTTCCTTTTTGCCAAAAGCATGTCAGTCTGCTATTTACTGCAGAATTTCACAACTAATGAGATGTGTCTGCTCATAGTGAAAAACAGTTATCAAAAATGTATGTTTAAAACTATGGCTGGCTGCTCTGTTAGGTGTTGATACTTGTCTTTCATTAGGAGAGATAAAGATTCCTTGTTGATACATGAAATTTCCTCTAATTTCCCCCTAAAGACAAATATCTTTTTGATGAGACCTACCAGAGTTCATGCATTTAGGGGATTTCTCATGTTGAGAAATGCTTCTATGACAACTCACTAGGCTGGAAATATTATGTGCCTCTATGTACAATATACCTTGGTTATATGCAGTTTAAATTTATATGCTTTTTCAGAATTTAGGACTTCTTTAATGTCTGAAAATCAGTCTGGAATCTTCTGGAATATTATTCCTGGAAAGTAATTCTGAAGACTTGCTGCCTCCTACTTGCCTGTTGTTATATGTCTAGCCAGGCAGTTTCCAAACTAGGCCTTGGATATACCATGAGTGTGTGTTTGTGTTGTTATGCAGAGCTGATGGTGGTGCTGGAGTGTGGATATGCAGAACCTGAGATACTCTACATCTGTAACAAGATGTGGTATAGAATTTGTCCTTGTCTTCAAAGAATGTCCTAATTTTGCACAGAAGATGAGATTTGATTAGTCTCCATCTCTCATCTTGGATTATGAATTTGTGTTTCTGTAAAACACTTTTTTGATCGTTGTGAAATGGGAATGATAGAGCAGTTCTATCCTTTCCAAAATCAAAGTGCTCTGCTTTTTTTTCTGTGTGGTTTTGGGTCTAGAGATAAATATTTGCTTGCAGCCACCAAAATTGGTGGTGCAGTGCTGCTGTCTAAGCATTGGCCTGCCTTCTCTTGCCATAGCAGTTTTTTTATCAAGTGTAACATTTCCTTAGCTAACGTTCTCACTATCCAGAAACAGGGTTGTGTAATTGCCCAGCTCTTTTCCCTTTTAGCACTGATTAACCAGATTCTCCTTCTTTTACAGCATGGATCTGCACGGTTATTTCGCTCTTCTAACAAAGGCTTCCAAGGTCCAACAAACTCAAGCCACGGTACCTCAGTCACAAACAAACAACATCAGGGCAGCAAATCACACCATCCGTTTTTCCACGGCAAAAAGAGGAAACACAAGAGGGATGCAGCCCTTTCAGACCTTTGTAGATAGTTGCCTGTTTTATGACTGTTCTTCTGTGTGCAATGATCTCATGCTACAGGATAGTTTGATAGTGACTCCTTGGATCTCTTCCGGAGCTTCAGACTGTTCAGACATTGATTAGCAGCTGCATTTTTTTTTTCCCAGCTCGCCACGGAACGGATCACGAAGATTGATCACTGCAAAAAAAAAGGAAAAAAAAAAGGAAAAAAAAAAGGAAAAAAAAAAGGAAAAAAAAAAGGAAAAAAAAAAGGAAAAAAAAAAGGAAAAAAAAAAGGAAAAAAAAAAGGAAAAAAAAAAGGAAAAAAAAAAGGAAAAAAAAAAGGAAAAAAAAAAGGAAAAAAAAAAGGAAAAAAAAAAGGAAAAAAAAAAGGAAAAAAAAAAGGAAAAAAAAAAGGAAAAAAAAAAGGAAAAAAAAAAGGAAAAAAAAAAGGAAAAAAAAAAGGAAAAAAAAAAGGAAAAAAAAAAGGAAAAAAAAAAGGAAAAAAAAAAGGAAAAAAAAAAGGAAAAAAAAAAGGAAAAAAAAAAGGAAAAAAAAAAGGAAAAAAAAAAGGAAAAAAAAAAGGAAAAAAAAAAGGAAAAAAAAAAGGAAAAAAAAAAGGAAAAAAAAAAGGAAAAAAAAAAGGAAAAAAAAAAGGAAAAAAAAAAGGAAAAAAAAAAGGAAAAAAAAAAGGAAAAAAAAAAGGAAAAAAGGAGAGAGAAAAAAAGAAAAAAAATTTTAAAAATACTTTTTATAAAAAACAGAGGAAAAAGGCTGCTCATTCGATAAGTCATATGCTACAACAGGGTCATTTAGGATATAAAAGCTTGAATGTAAAATAAGTGTATTTCCCATCAGCTCATGCTGACCTGTAGAGGTAGTACTCAGTGTGTCTAGGGGGTGGTAATAAATAAAACACAAAAAAAACAGGAAAAAAAAAAGGCAAAAAATTGTATTTTGAGGGAAACCCAGCCTTTAAAGGTGAAAGTAATTTGTGCATGATTTTTTTATTATTTTTGCATATACTTACCATTTTATTGTGTATATATAGAAGACCATATAGGAGAACTGACATTTGTAATAGTGGATTTGTTAATACTTTTTACATAACATTGCTGTTTAAATTGTAAACAAATTTTTCTCAGGATTAGTTTGGAAAATAATCTGAATTGTCATCTTAACATCCATATAAAGAGACATAACTAGTTACATTGCTCAGAATTTCTTTTCTTGCCATTTAAAAGATTTAATAGAACATTTTATCTGCAAAGCTGTTCCTCTGAAAGAAATGTTTATGGTGGCAAATGAAGTTTTTCATTTGTGTAAAGTGTACATGTATTTGTGTAGACCCTGAGCTTGTCATCTCGAAGAAGTAACCTTCACCTTGTTTTCTAGAGTGCCATCATTTCAGGCAATGGGGTTTTATAGTTGCATCCCTCTCTTTCCTCCCCTTAGTGGTCTCTCACCGACTCGTTTTTTTGTGGTTTTTTTTTTTTTGTTTTAGTTTTTTTTTTAAGAAATATAAAGCCACTTGGGGTTTTTTGTTTGGTTGGTGGTGGTGATTGTTTTTCTTTTTTTGGTTTAAAAAAAACAACAAAACTCAGTTTGTTACAGACGTTTGCATTCCTGGGCTGCTTTAATCCCATGCCTCTTCGTTTGTGCCTTCCCTTGCCCTTCCAGGTCTGGGTTTTATTGTCTTTTATATTTTTGCTAACTCCTGTAGGAGATAACTGTTGAAGCTTTAAGTAAATTTTACAATTAAAGTATTTTTTTCTCACTCCCCTCTTAGACATTTTTATATTTACACTTAATTATTTAAAAAAAAAGCAAACCCAAAACAACTTAAAATAATATATTTTGTATTGCCTTAAAGACCCAAACCTTTCATATCTCATACCACTTCTTCATTGACCTTGTTATCATTTAATTTAGGCTCTGCATTTGTCTGGTTCAGTCGCATTACAAGTCTGGGTTGCAGCAGCTTGGATGCCATGAATGTGAATCAAAAGTGTAGTGACACTCACGGGCAAAGCTTGGAACAGGAGTTGGGACACTTCAGTGGTAGAAAGTGGCATTTACTTTCACTTATTTCTTTAAAGAGGAAAGTCTGTACTTGGCTGTAAGTGGCTGTATTTAATGCAGCTGTTCTGAAGATGATGCTTTTATAAAAAGTACTGTTAGCTTTTAGAAATTTTTTATATACATTTACTGAATACTACAGACCAACCTGACCTTCAATGGGCACTAATGAGTGCAATGATTTTGAAAGTAAAACAATGATAAAATGAGATCAGAACTGATGTCATCACTTAATAAACATTTTTGATGTGTTTAAGTGTTTTACTTCAAAACAGAAAATATATATTCCAAAAATGTGGACAGTTAAAAGATTTACTCAAACACTAAGCTTACGTGATGTTAATTTGACAATGTTTTGATTTTTTTTTTTAATTTTTAGATTCATATTTTAATTTGATCAGATAATTTTATCAACAAGGTGTTGAGCTTTTGTTCATAGAAACTAGTAAAAGTTGTACCACATTATGCATAATCACAATATTTATTTTGTTTTAGGTTATTGTGAATGTGTAGAGTTATGTTCACCTCTTAGGGAACAATTATTTATAAATTATATTAATCCAGTATTGTTAGCTGCTATTAGCAAAACTGTTCCAAAATTTAACACTTGCAAAGACCTGTATTGCATTTACCACACTGAAGTGTTTTTAAAAGAATCACCCTCATCGTTGAAAGCAAATGTACTCTTAGGGTGCAGATATTAGTGTTCCAATAAGCATGTGATAATTTTAAGGTGGTGGTAGCGGGAAGATAATCTTGATTCCATTGGGAATCTTAGGTTTGCCTCAATTTATGGTTTTCATAAATTTAATGGAAAATAGCTTTTCCTGGACTGCTCAAGTTTCTTTTTGGTAAACAGTATCTTTCTAAAAGAAAAAAAAAGAAAAAAAAAAAAAGAGAAAAAAAAAAAGAAAAAGAAAAAAGCATGAAGGAAAAATTGAGGCATTTTACGTTGCCTCAAATGACCAGCATTGTATTCATAAAATACTGTATATCTTGCAAATCTTTATTTAAACAGAACAGTTGAACTGTTCGTTTTTCAATCTGAAGTAAAATACTTTCAAGACCTTTTAGTTTGCCTGCTCATTTGTCTTGTACATTTCATCTCTGTATTTGACTCGAGTCTAATTCCTTTTTGAGTTTCAATACTTTTGTGAAGATTTTGTGAATATATGAAAAATAAATGTTTAATCTAACTACTGCAGTTTATCACCATTCTTGACACTTAACTGTTTTTTTTCCCTTCACAATACTGTGGAAAGAGCAAACTACTCAAGGTGCTTTGAAACATTTTTTTTGTAGTATCTGGGTGTTCCCCTAGCAGGGTGCTGGACCTCTGCCTGGAATTTGGAAGCTTTTTTTGTTCAATGGGGCTTGGTCTGCCATGTTGCCTTCCAGGAGAGCTAAAGCAGAGTCTGTATGGTTGAGAAAAAAGTGGAAGAATATAAATATATCAAGGCTTATTAATATATTATTTTTCCGCAACATTCCTCTGCACTGTAAGCGTGAAACTCATGTAAGGATCCATTTTCTTTGCCTTCTGAAGTGGCACTAGGGGTAGTGTTCCAGCTGCAGAACAGCTGTTCAAAGCTGCCACACTGAGACTGGCATTGTAGAAATACAAGTTCACTTGAGTTACCTTCAGCTCCAAACTCTGCTTAGTGTAGTTCCTGAAGCACGGTTGGTATTACTAAAGTATGTTCTTAACTTTGGTTATTTTTCTTCCTTGCACAAATGAGCAGGGAGACGTACACATTCTGAAAGCTGTGGTGGTCCTGTGGGTGGTAGTTTTCCTGAGACCAACTGAAATACGTAAATAAGAAGCTGAAATGGTTCTGTATCTTCCTGGTTGACATTAGATTGATAAGTCAAGGGAGTTTTTTCACTTTTTTTTTTTTTTTTTTTTTTCCAGAACACTTCAAATGGTGTTTATAGTTAAAAGCTAATTATTTATATTTCTAATTGTCAGTCCTACCTTGTGGCAGAAAAGAAGCTGAAATGTAAGTAAATCTTCCTGTTTGTGAGACATGACTTGATTGTGTTTACTGATTTCCATGTTTTCTGCAGCTGCCTCAGAATTTACAGTTTGGGTTTTCAAGTGCTTATAATAAACTTGTTTTCCTAGAACTTAAACTTCAGAAAGTAATTAGTAGTCCAATGGCTGGTGGCAACTTTTCAAATGTACTTTCAAAATAGACCTTTTCTGTTTTAGATCTGGACTCATCAGGAGTGTATCCTAAATATAACATGAGCAACTGATTAGAAAATAATCTTATCTTGAAAATGTGTTGTGAATAAAAGCAGCCAGCTATTCGACATTGTGATGGATGTTGGAAATCGTGATAGAAGTAAAAATTGAATGTGTGACTCCAACTTTATTGCCTCAAGAGTAAAAGCTATATGAGATGCTGAAGTATGGAATTACTCAAGAAGGGAGTATATTTACCCATATAGGAGCTGTAACAAAAAATACATTTAATTATTCCAGCTACTGTTTAAGAGGAAAAAGTAGAGTTTGTTTATTCTGCTGACTCCTAGAACTTGATTCTTTTGCTTAACAATGCAAAATAATTTTCTAAGAATCAAATTATCATGTCTTGAAACTGATTGTCTTGAAAGTGCAGAATTGGAGAGCTTTATTTTCTAGCTGATTTGTAATGTTTCCAGAAGTTTGCCAGGTGCAATGACCGGAATGTAAATACGTCTTGACTGTATTTCCGTGAGTTCCAGCAGTTCTGACAGATATGTATTCATATTTCATCTGTAAGTTGTGTCAAGTATCTACTTGGAAAGGAAGTAGCATTAGTATAGACAAAAGGTGGATGTTGTGCATTTTATCTTCGTAGTCCTTGATCAATTTAATTATGCATTTCAGATTACTCTACAATTTAGATAATTTTGAACAGCTTTGGTTTTAATTCTTAGTATATTTAGCAATTTCCCCACCATGATAATTTTATTGATTTGTGGACTCCAAAAGCATCTAACAGAAGTGTGATGCCTTTGTTAGACACCTTGACTGTACAGTTCAATAGGTCTCTCCAAGCAGTAACTAGCTTAAAAATTGCCTGTTCCCATTTGCTCCTTCCTATAGCAGTAGAACAAGCGGTGAACTTGGATATGTATGAAAAAAAAAAAGCAATGTTAATGTTTAGTTT